TAATTAAAAATTGACTCTTTTTTCTTGTATTATTAAATGTATGAAAACATAAATTAACAATCATATGATAAGAAATATAAATTTTACAATACGTTAAAAATATAATGATTATTCTCCCTCGTATTATTTCAAAAATTATGTGAATGCAAAAAAAACATTTGTGGTTCTATGATTTTAATGAAATTTTACAAAATATTTACTCATTTTTTTGCTTTCCTTTTTAAATATTAAATCATTTAAGTGTGTGAAAGTATTTTGGTCAATACATAATGTTTTATAAAATACAAAGAATTTAAAAATTATATTTCTCTTTGATGTTGTAGTTTAACCTAAATCTTATTCACTTCTGCACATAAGATATTCTTCGTACTTCTCCTTAAATTACTGATCGGTAATTTAAAAAAATTGCAAAAAAAGAACTGGTCTATCTGGTCAAACCGATCGGTTTGTCTAAAAGGGTGACACATCAGCTCGCCACATGTCGCGCTTTAGCTTTGCCAAATGTCGCCACATCAGCTCGCCACATCCCGCATTTTAGCTCTGCCAAATGTCACGTTCTTATAGCCCCGACTCTGCTTTATATATATATAGGACTAGCATTCTAACCCGTGCCACGCACGGGGTCAAATGAAAGTTTTGACGATTTTGTAAATTATATTTAATGTAATATTTTAAATGACGTTATAAGAATAAATGTAATGTGTTCTTTAACACTATGGAAAAAATAATCATAGTAGAATAATTATTTAGCATTTAATATTTGGTTATGAAAATTATTATATATAAATTCAAAAACAAACACCTCAAAGAGTTTTTTTAAAATTCGTATTTTTATAAAAACTTCACGGTATACAATATTTTTGTTGTGGTTGCAACAATTTTCATTATCATCTAGAACTAATATTTTTAACTTTGTCTTTATTTTCACCTGTGAAATAGCAGCATAAAGTTGACTATGAGTGAACACAAATTTGGTTAAAAGTATTTTAAGAAAAGACAATGTTTGATCTTGAATTTTTATAAATAGTCATCGCAAAATATAAAATTATTGAGAATTGTCTTCTCTATAACTTCAATGGTAGTCCCGAATAAGGTGGTACCAAAATTCATTTTAGGTATGTAAACCTTTTTTCCGACTCGATTTCCTGAAACCACAATTGTATCGATAACGTTGTATCGCAACTTTTCAACAATTAAAATTATCTCATTATATAATTTAAATGTTTGGTCAATGTTCCTATATAACATAGTTGGTGTCCCTTTTTCAAAACTATTTTTTGGTTTGAGAATTTTGAACATTTGATTTCATTAAAAAATTTAACTGATATCCAATTGTCATCAATACCTGCATTTGCGAGGCATAAAAAATCAGAACCCAAGTACTTTTTTCAACACCAAGAATGAGAATAGAAAAAATCCATTTATCATTTAAACTACCTCGAAAATTGGTACTAATAGTGTCCTATCCTCAATAAAAAATAATTGTTCATGTTTTCTAAAAATGTTTGGATAAGTGGAGTCCATTGTACTTTTGATAGGAGAACTTGGGTCAAGAATAAATTATTTGGTGGAATCTCAACATCACTAACGTCATCAATCTCCAAACTTTGCTTTCCATCTCCGAATTTAATTATCTAATAAAAAGCTTGTGTGACTCTATCTGTGCAAGAGGACGTAGATGAATGCACCTCATATTCTTGATCAACATAAAAACTTTGCAATACAATTATGATTTTTAGAAATTGACCATATCACATACAATCTCTCTCTCGAAGCTCTGGATAAAACTGGAAATATCTATCAAAAATTACCTCTGAGTACAAATATTCTCCCCTCCCCTCATGGTTATTTTTTGGAGTTACTATTAAAGAAGCCCATGATATCTCTCATTTTGCGATCTAATACCTCAAAAGAAAATCTATTCATCATACATGTTTCATCCAATAAGATTAGACTTACTTGTTGGAGTGATTTTACTTTTAGACTCACTTGTTTGATATCAGATGTTGAGCACCTAGTTAATGCCAAAGGGATTGAGAATCTCGAACGTGTTGTCTTTCCACCATGAAATAGAAATGGTACAATGCTACTGGATGCAACATTCAAAACAACCTTGCTATTAAATCTTAGAGAAGTAGATAATGATTTCTAGAGATCTTTTCCCAATTTCTTTGTAACCATACATAAAAAAGAAACCCTTTCTTTCAACTGTCACAACTTCCATCATCTATTCATATATCTTCCTTTTGTCTTCATTCATTATAGATAAATATTGTCTAAGATCAGATAATAACTTTCTTTGTCATAGTTTAACTCCTCTACCAAGAAATTATTTTGAAATATATTAAATAAGATGTCTTCTAGGAAATGATATACCATTGAACTCTTCTTAAGATCGTTCATTTGAATTAAGTGCCTTTTTAATCTCAATCAAACACAAATTTCTTAGATCTTCTAGAAAAATAATAAGTTCTACAAAAAAATGGTTAAAATGCGACTACATGTATCAACTCATACCTCAATTCTAGAGCTTTGAACACGTATAATGCACTCCATATTGATCTTTATATAAATAATAAAAACTATCTTTTATAGAAATGTATTGATTATGCAATATTCTTCTTTTGTCAAATAAAATGCCATTAACCAAGGCTCCCATAATTTTTCCCAAATTACTTGAGGATGACTCATGGTATTTGTCGCTAATAATGTGACAAACAACTTTCTTAGATGATTATCATATCCTAGCTCAAGAGCCTCTTTAATTTCCTTATCATCAATTCATAATTTTTTTTGTACGCCATTGTTAACAATCTTTTATACTATCAATAAATTCTTTATCATCGATTAAAACCCCCAATGCTCCACATGCATCTACGAATGAGCTACATACAGCATTGTCAATTGTCTTCAAAGTTTGATAGCTTGTACATCCCCATGGTTCCAACTGTTATAGAAAAGTTAGATTTTCATACCAACAATACGTAAAAAACCCAAAGGATGAAGCTTAAATGCTTATTTTTTTTCTTTCTTCTATCACAACATTGATTATCATGGAACATATGTGCATTTAAACCTTGAATAAGAGTGGTGGATGACACATTCCTTTGATTATACCTGTACATTTTGTAATAGAATTTGAGATTTATCAACTATTTCTTTTAATATGACTCTAAAATTGAGTAATTTAAGTATCAAATCCAAAAAGAGGGCTAGTAGTATCACTAATTACTATATTTAACATTTTATTAAATTTATAAGATTAAGGTTCAAAATAGAAGGCAAGTAATTTCACAAATTACTATATTTAATATTTTATTATAATTCATAATTTTTTAGCAAAATCCAAAGTGGCTGTTTATAGATTTATAATTTTTACTCTCCAACCAAAATTATATGGTTATTTTTTTCTTTGATTTTTGTTTTTTTATTTCAAAATTCTAATTAAATTAAAGGGTTTTGGTTTCAAATTTTTTAAATAATATTTACATTGGTTTGTATATCTTAAAATTAATTGATATGATTAGTTGAAATTAATTATTTATGGGAAATACTGATAAAAAAATTTATATGCTTAATGTACTCGTGCTTAAAGATAATACATTAAAATGGGAAAAAGTTATCAATAGAAAAATACTGCTTCTTTATTATATAACACATGTCTTATTTATGCATTGACACGCATGGATTTAAATGCATATACATTTTTTTAGTAAGTTTAATATGGAAAATATTGTTTTTTAAACATATTTCTACCATTTTGAGTATGACAATTTTAAGTAGTACTTTATGATTTGTTCCATTTACTCCGTAGAATGAAGGCCAATTGAACATATATATTCTAATCATAAGTAATTTATATTCTAAACGGTAGAATAATGATATCGCATTCGCACTATATTTATATTCTATGAAAATTAATTTTGAACTTTTTTAGTCAACAATATAATTTTAGTTTTTACTCAATTGTATAAAATTTAATAAAATGTCAAAATTCTTCCATAAGATTCCTTTTATTCTGATTTGATTTTATTAACAAATTTTGTAAAAATTGACATCGATATATCTAAAAAGTATTTTTTGTTTTACTATAAATGTAATATCAATAATATTTTTTGAAACATTATTTTGAAATATGAATTTTTCATGAGATATGATAAGTGTAAATATCGATACTAATGGTTAAAATGTTAGATTGAAAATTGTTAAAAGTCAAATGAAAAAATTATATCTGCTCATACAATGAGAAGTCCTAAGGTTTTTATTTTTTCAAGATAGGTGGCGACCAATGTGACCATACCTTTTCTTTTTCTTTGGCATAAGATCATTAACCTAAATATAAATTTAATAAAGTTCATTCAAAGAAGTATATGCATAATTAATTATTTAATAAAAGTGGAGTATATGCATAACTAATTATTCCACAAAAATCACACAGATGCGTAAAAGAAAATTATAAGAGGAAAGAGAAGAATTTACATGTCGCGCCGTGATATAAAAGTAGCAAAAAAGCTCTCATTCATCCTAGATCTAGTTCTCCATCGCAATTACTGGTGAATAGTGTGTATAAAGTCTGAAAGATGTTGACTTTAAAAATTTTCCAATACAACAACTTCATTAGACCATTTAAACACGTGTTGTTGACTTGTAAAAAATTATATATATATATATATGTGTATATATATATATATATATGTATATATATATATATATATATATATGTATGTATGTATGTATGTATGTATGTATGTATGTATAGTCCTCCCCGAACTTTTCTTACTTTCAGGGCTCTGGTCTAGTCCTCCCCGAACGTGTGCTTACTCGACTTTAATGATATTGGTAAGGGCGGCCTGGACCTTACCCCACTGACTTTGGTGGATTTTTCGGGCAATATATATATATATATATATATATATATATATATATATATATATATATATATATATATATATATATATATATATATATATATATATATATATATATATATATATATCTGTGTGATGTGGCCAGTGCTGTTAGCACAAGTAGAAGAGCTCTTAGAAGTGCGAAAATACCTGAGAGTGATTACACAACTCTTCCTAATGGCCTGAAGTTTTATGATATAAAGATTGGTACAGGAGCAGAAGCTGTGAAGGGATCTTGAGTTGTTGTCCATTATGTTGCTAAATGGAGAGGCATTACGTTCATGACAAGCAGACAAGGAATAGGTGTTGGAGGAGGAACGCCTTATGGATTTGACGTTGGTCAATCGGAGCAAGGGGTTGTCCTCAAAGGATTAGATCTCGATGTTCAAGGCATGAGAGTGGGAGGACAGCGTTTGCTGATCGTTCCTCCAGAGTTAGCTTATGGAAACAAAGGGGTTCAAGAAATTCCTCCAAATGCGACAATTGAGTTGGATGTGGAACTACTATTAATCAAACGAAACCCGTTTGGATAAAGAGTTGAAAAAGCATTTTGAGATATTCATCTCTCGGGAGTGTAATGCTATATACGCCCTCACTTTTATTTCCTGACATTATAGCTGATTATTGGCTAACAACAAAAGCTTTAGAGTCATTGAAGGATTATTTGCATTGTGGTGCTCATATCTTTAGTACAAAGGAATTCACAATTTGCAATTATAACTTGTAAGAAACCTTTCAATAATTCCTAGTATATCGCCACTTATTTCTTCGGCTATGCTGAACATGTTGCGTTTGAGAGATGAAACACAGCTAACGGCTGCACACACACACACACACATATATATAGAAGAGAGAGAGACTGAAATGTTACTCGATTTAGATTAGGTTTTACGCCTTTTGGATTTAGAGTAGCCTAATGGGTATATCATATTTTAATTGAATATATAAAACTAAATAACTAATAAAAATAAGCAATTAAGTGCATAACCCGTCGGGTCAAACCTGACCCGACCCGTTCTGACCAAAAAATTTAACGGGTCTTCGGGTTCGGGTTGCAAAATCAATGTTCAAAACCCGCTAATTTCGGGTCGGGTTTCAGATTAATAACGGGTCGGGTTATATTTTGCGAGGCCTAGGAGCCACTCTCTTTAGAGGAGAAGAGAAAAAAAGTAGGGAGTAAAAAAATGATTTGCCAAGGGGAACTGGGTGGGCAATGAATTAACAAAAGGGGAAGAGGGGGATCCATATCTAAAAAATGTAGTGCGGAGTAGTTTTTTAGATTACCAAAAAATGTAGTACTCCGTGGGTATTTTGTATTCTCATTCCAAATTAAATTTCATATTTATAATTCACAGGATTCCCCACTGTAGTGGGATTCAACTGGGTTGTTGTTGTTGTTGTATTTACAATTCACAGGATTAAACTTTATTTATTTTTTTCTTATTTTCGTTAGTCATTTGATAAAATAAAATAATTGTGTCACCACCAATTTTATATATCTTTTGATTTAGTTTATAAATATGTACTACCTCTATCCAAATATTTCTTTCCTGTTTTGAAGTTAAAAAGTGTAATGAATTGTCATATTTTACCCTTAATTTGATGGAATAAAGTGAATAGTGTCGATAAAAAGTCAGGCATAATAGAAAATTTATTAAAATTTTGTTGCAAAAATAAGAAACGAGAAAATTTATTTTGGACGGCTCAAAAAGGAAAGTGAGAAAGAATTTAATGAACGGAGTGAGTAATTCTTGTTTATTAATTCTACACGGTTTTTCATATAAAATGATTTGAAAATAGTTTTAATCAAACATCGTAAACCCGAAACAGACAATTTAAATTTGTCCCTATAAGTTTGAAAAATTTCGTCCTTGTAACTAGGAAATATGAATTAAATTAGTTCCTTATACAAAATTTATATTCAAAATTTATAAGTTAACACTGATGGGTAATAACCCATGGATTCCACCCGGTAGGTTCGCACCGACCGGGAGGTATCGAATCCAATGCCTTATATCCCGGTCGACCCGGGCAGTCTGACCGGTCAGGGGTGATGAGATCTAGAATCACAGACATGGCCTCGTGTGGCGAAGGCATACAAACTGACCGGCCGGGGAGCTGACCGGCCGAATGAACAAAGACGTGCTTGACGTGCTTAGAGATTATTATAAATAGGACTAAAAGCCTCATTTGTGAGGCATGCTTTAATTAACCTACACGGCTTGTACTTTGTAATATCATTAATAACAAACTGGGTTACAGGTGTTTCCACCTACAGCCCTTCCGATCTTTTATACTTAATATTTGCACGGTATTTACACCATCAAATTGGCGCCACCCGTGGGACCCATTACAAAAAAGCCATGACAAGCAACCAGGAAACCATCATCTCACAAATCTCTACCCCTGGAGAGAACGTAATGTCGCTCCCGGGAGGGAACACCTTGCCCACTACACCAATCCCTACCCCTATAATCACCATCCCAACACCCACCTCGTTCACTTCCCCGATGACTTCTGTCCCCGTTTTTCCTCCAAACTTCCCTGGGCCTATGGACCCAATGTATTCCCAAAAGCTGCAAAGCTTTAGACAATTTATGTCCATCCTTCAACAACCGAGAGGTTTTTCCCCCTTCATTTCTGGGTTGTACCCACAAACCTTACCCCAGAGCGCTCCTTTCACAAGCATGTCTGGGCTTCCCCCACCATTCCAACAAGCTAGTATTATCCGACCGGTTGTTCCGACGAATTTGGTCGGAGAAATGGATAAAGTTGGCCCTTTCCGGTCGAGAAGGAGTCCGTACCGAAGATCACACACCCAAATAACACTAGACGGGGATGTACGTTCAGTTCACAGTAAAGATGAGGACTGGGATGTCCCCCAGGCGCAAAAGGATCTAGGAGGTCAGTGTTCCAGAAACTGGGACACGAAGGAAGGAACCAGAACTGACCGGCCAAAGAGCGGTTGGGGGGTGGAGACAATCTCAGTGAGTGCCTTGGACTAGATGGGGAGAGGGGCCGGACGACCTGGTCGGACTTGGCGAATCGAACCACCCCCTCGTGATGAACCCCAGCACAGCCGGGCGCCCCTGGAGGAGGAGGAAGCGGAAAGTCATCCGAGGCACACGGTCCGGACACACGCTGAGCAACCCAGGGACCGTGTGGGCCGGGTGGAAGCTCGATTTGAGAAGTTACAACGATGGGTAGACCGGGACGAAAAGAAGAAAGTCTTGCTGAATGGATCTCCATTCACTGACCGGGTGCATGAGACCCCGTTCCTTAAAAGGGCAAAGCTTGAGGTCCCAAAATTCACCGGTAAGGAGGATCCGGAAGTACACATCAAAACCCTCCACCAAAGCGACAGAATGATGGGTCTTACCGGGGACGAAAAGTGTTTGCTTTTCTTCCAAACACTCCACGGCCGAGCCACCGAGTGGTTTCACAACCTCCCGACCGGTGAGATCAATTCTTTTGATGAACTGGCCGAGGTATTCCAGGGGAAGTTCAAAGAAAATTGTACCAAGAGGAAAAAATTTACCTACTTGAGTACAGCCGGGCAGAGGGAGCACGAGGATCTGACCAAGTTCCTCACTCGGTGGAAAGATGAGGTTGATAAGGTGGAGGAGATTGATGACAAAACCGCTATGTCCCTCATGGTCTCCGGGCTCCGTTCCGAAGAATTGTACAAAGAATTCTGCAGGAGACCTCCTCAGTCCTACCAAGAGGCCTACAACACGGCTTCGGATTATGCAGATGCTGAGGCTCAGGTTTCTTCCAAGAGGGAAGCCGAGCAAGGCCACCCTAGGGGAAGGACTACCGTGAAGAAGGAAGTTGAACTGCCCGGCAAGGTAAAGGCGGAAGTGATGGAGGTAAAACCTATGAAGACAGAAAAGAGACCAGCCGGAGAGAAGCAGTGGACAGAAAAGTACTGCTCTTTCCACAAGACGAACTCCCATAAAGCTGAGTGCAATAGTGTTAAGGGGGTGATAAAACAAATTATCGAGGTTGGGGAACTCGATCAACAATACCTAGCCCACGCGAAACAGAAGAAAAACCAGTGGATTCGGCCTGAAGGACAACCGGCTGATCAAAACAAAAAGAAGAAAGCAGCCGGTAAAGAGCACTTACATATGATTTACGGGGGACCAGAGGGAGGAGATTTTGCTTCTCAAAGAAAGAAGTGGGGGCGTGAACTCTACGTGGGGACAGTTGCCCTAGATCCCCGGCAGAAGGAAACTATACGGGAGCCGATTACTTTCACGGACCGAGATCTTCCCGCCACCGGGGAAGATCACAATGATCCTCTGGTCATAACCATGGGCATGGGTGGAGTTGACGTCTCCCGGGTACTCATCGACACGGGCAGTAGTGTCAACGTTTTGTACCTAGAGGCCTTTGAGAAACTTAAGCTGTGCCAAACACGGCTTGAGCCATTAAAAACTCCCCTATCTGGGTTCACTGGGGACTCTGTTGAAGCCGAAGAGTCAATCCTCTTAACATGCGAACTGGGCACGGGGGACAAAGTTATACAAAAGCAGATGAGGTTCGTGGTGGTGAACATCACATGTGTTCACAATGCCATCCTGGGCCGGCCAGGAATTAACAAAGTCTGTGGAATCATCTCCATGGCCCACCTGTGCATAAAGTTCTATACACCGGGCAGTATAGGACAAGTCAGAGGAGATCAGAAGAAAGCCTGGTGTTGTTATCTTGATGCCGTGAAGAAGATGACAAAGGCATTCGAGAGGGTCACCCTGGTTTCTCAGGAGGAAGACCGGTCGAAGTTAGAACCGGGTGATGAGACTGAGCAGATTGTTCTCCGGGAGGCGTTCCCAGAGAAAATGGTGAGGATTGGACGGGACCTACCTGAGGGGCTTCGAGAGGAGATCATCTAAGTCCTTTGGGAATATGGCGACATATTTTCTTGGAGTGTTGCGGATATGCCGGGCATTGATCGTTCCGTTATATGCCACCGGTTGGCAGTAATGGAAGGTAGCCGGCCGATAAAACAAAAGAAACGGCATTTAGCAAATGTCCGGAGGGAGTTTGTTAAGAAAGAAGTCAAGGATCTGTTAGCAGTCGGGCACATTAGAGAAGTCCAATACCCGGCCTGGCTGGCTAATGTCGTCTTGGAACCAAAGGGCGACACTTGGCGTATGTGCGTGGATTACACGGATCTCAACAAAGCATGCCACATGGATTCATATCCGCTGCCCAGTCCCGACCAGATGGTCGATGAGACGGCCGGGTGCGAATTGTTGAGCTTCCTAGACACCTTCAAAGGCTACCATCAAATCTTCATGGCGAAGGAAGACGATGAAAAAACTTCTTTCCTAACTCCCGAAGGCACATATTGCTACCAGGTGATGGCCTTTGGACTTAAGAACTCGGGCGCCACTTATCAACGGATGGTGAACCGGCTTTTCAAGCCACTACTCGGTAAGTTTATGGAAGCCTACGTGGATGACATGCTGATCAAAATCCCGGGAGCAACAAACCACCCGGCTGGCATGAGGCTATGTTTTGAGATCATGGGGTTCATGGTTACAAAGCGGGCAATTGAGCCGAACCCAGAGAAGATAAAGGCGATAACCGAGATGAGGTCGCCCGGTTCCTTGAAAGACGTGCAGCGACTGACCGGGCGATTGGCAGCTTTGAGCCGTTTTATATCCCGATCAGCTGAGAGGGCCCTACCCTTCTTCAAGGTCCTGAAGAAGGCCAATACTTTTGAATGGGACCGGGAGTGTGAAGAGGCTTTCTAGCAGCTGAAGGAGTACTTAGTTTCCGATATAGTTTTGTCTAAACCCAAGCCGGGTGAAACTTTGTACTTGTATCTGGGCATATCCCAAAACGCTGTAAGCTCTGTTTTGATAAGAAATGAAGACGGCTAGAGCCCTATTTACTATGTGAGCAAAGCACTTAACGGGGCAAAAAGCCGGTACACTACCATTGAAAAAACAGCATACACACTTTTTATAATGGCCAAAAAACTGACCGCATACTTCTAAGCTCACGCTGTAGAAGTACTGACCAATCAGCCACTTGGACCAGTCCTCCACAACTCAACTTCTTCAGGAAGGATGATCAAGTGGGCAATGATGCTCACCCAGTTCAAAATCGATTACAAACCTCGAACCGTAATCAAGGGCCAAGCCCTGGCCGACTTCCTGGTTGAACTGACCGGTCTGGAGCATGAAGCGGGACCATCCCATACGATCGAACCGTGGTGGGACATGGCCGTTGATGGGGCTTCTGGGCCGAAGGGATGTGGGACCGGGATAGTTTTTACTACTCCTAAAGGATTCAAGATCTACCATGCCTTGGTTTTTAACTTCAAGCTTACCAACATTGAGGCGGAGTATGAGGCACTGGCCGGCGGACTCAGGTTAGCCCGAGCACTTGGTATCAAGAGAATGAAGATCCGGTTTGATTCAAGCCTAGTTGTCGGACAAGTTAATGGAGAAATGAAAGTAAAAGAAGAACGCCTCGCCCGGTATAGTGATCTAGTCCGAGCTCTTTTGAGAGAGTTGGAAGAATTCTGTCTAACTAGGATACCCCGGTCAAAAAACACTGATGCTGATATGCTTTCCAAGTTAATGCAAGCTTGCCTGGAGCATGTATCAAACTTGGCTAAAATTGAGATATTGGACCAACCGAGTGCTGACCGGTTGGAGGTCGCGGCTGTTCAGCAAGGTCAGAGCTCGGCTGAAGAAGTGATTGAAGCGGATGATGAGTGGAGATACGACTTCATGGAATACTTGATGATCGGCTAGAAACCGGACGACGAAGAGCGGGCTAGGAAGTTAGTCTTGCGGGCTCTCAAGTTTCAGGTTCTGGACGGTCACTTATACAAGCGAGCTATCGGAGGGTCTCTACTACGTTGTCTCACCAATCCGGAGGCAGAACGGGTGATAGCCGAGGTACACGAGGGAGTTTGTAATGCCCATCAGATGTCCCGTACACTGGCCCAAAGGATAATTTTGCTTGGCTATTATTGGCCGACCATCGTTAGAGATTGTGAAAGGTATGAGCAAAAATGTAGGACATGCCAAGTCTTTTATAAACATTCTGGCCGGCTAGGTACATACTATCAACCAACCTCTAATGTCATACCCTTTGCCCGGTCTTTTGGGATTGACATTATTGGGGCGTTCCCGATTGCGCAAGGCGGGAAGAAGTTCGTGATGGTCGCCATAGATTACTTCACAAAGTGGGTAGAGGCCGAGGCGATGGCCACCATAACCGTGCGGCAATGTGAGAAATTCGTTTGGAAGAACATTATCACCTGGTTTGGGGCACCGAAGATGATTGTAACAGATAATGGCCCACAGTTTCGCAATCCCCAGTTCACAACATATTTGGCCAGTTTCGGGATCAAGCACAACAAGGTGTCGGTAGCATATCCCCAAGTAAATGGCCAAGTTGAAAATGCTAACCGGGCGATAATGGACGGGCTAAAGAAGAGGTTGGGCGAAGAGGGGCGCAAATGGTTGGAACACTACCTCATACGGTCTAGGCACACAGGGTGACTTCAAAGAGAGCAACCGGGGAGACGCCATTCGTACTCACTTATGGATGTGAAGCCCGGCTACCAATCGAGGCATAATTCCCAACATTTAGAGAAGCCATGTATCAAGCCGGTCAGAACGAGGCCGAACACATGGCTGAGTTGAATCTGGTGGAAGAACGAAGAACGATGGCAGCTGTCAAAATGGCCGGTTATCAGCAATCAGTAAACAGATATCATAATAACCGGGTTGGTCCATGTTACTTCCAAGTGCATGATGAAGTCTTACGGAGAAGGGATGCCAGTAAGCCCAACGAAAGACGCAAGCTAGTGTGCAACTGGGAAGGGCCGTATCGCGTTAGGGCGATCATCCGACCGGGCACTTATGAGCTGGAGACCATGTAAGGTGGACGAGTCGACCGGCATTGGAACTCTCACCACTTGCGCAAATTTTTTAGATAAAGTGTAACGAGTTCCCGGTCATGAATAAAACTTTATTCTTTTCAGAAAACCTATTCTTAATACCGGACGGAAATTGGTCGCTGACCAATCTGCCCGGTTAGATGTTCAATCGAATTGGACATCCAAAAAAAAGAAGAACGACCAGTCAAACCGGTCAAACTCTTCATTCGTACTGACACGGAATTAAATGACATAACCAAAAAGGGAAATTATCCCGGTTTGGTTGGGTCAAACGATCAAAAAATGAAAGGCTTATCTTTCAACACGGGCGGGAAGCCAATGTGAAAGATAAGCCGACTTCATTTAACCCTGAGCGGAAAACCATCCTTCCTGAAAGGACATGGTAAATTTGGCTCCCTCGGGTAGAACACCGCTTGGGGAAGAGGTCGGTCAGATCCCATCTCCACCCGGTCACCCAGTCAGTCTTCCGAAAAGACTTGGGTAAAATTTTTATTATTAGACCGGGTAGCTACAGCCAGGCTGTGGCTGAATAACCTACATGGCAATGAATTTAAACTAACAAATCATTTTTAAGCATAAACCATGTAAAATAATCAGACACTCAGCACACAATATGGAAAAAAGAACTTTCATTGATATCAAAATGTTTTACAAAAGTTCCCGGAGGCTGATCATTACATATAGAAATAAAAATAAAAGAGAAGAAGAAGGCCTCGGGCTCAGATCCCTTCGAAGGGGGCGACCGGCTCTTCGTCGTGGAGCTCGGGCAGGGAGAAGGTCTTGGGCTCAAACCCTTGAATGCGTTGCTGAAGGATGCCATAGAGAGCCCAACGCTCTTGGTATTGGCTGCTTTCGAAACCAAAGGTCCCGATCTCATCGATGACCTTGGCCAATTCCTCGTGTTTGTACAGGCCTTGGAAGAACCGAATGGTGGGCTCCCGGTTTGAGATTTCCCGGGCAGCAAACTGTTCTGGCTCTTCGGCTGCCTAGGCTGCAGCATAAGTGGCCCGGTCACTTCTCTCCCTTTCAAGCTCCGCCTTCAGCTGGGCGATTTCATGAGCTGGCCGTGCGGATTCTTCCTTCAGCTTTGCGGCCTCTTCCTATAGCTCTGCCCTCTCCCCCTCAAGCTCTAAGATTTTCTCCTAAGCCTGGGCATCGGCTTCTTTTGAGGCCTTCAACAGTCCTACGTGCTTTGCGTAGAGCTTGCGGAAGGCTACACAATGCTCCAACAGCTTCTCCTCGGCCTTCTCCGCCTTCTGGTGGGCGGCTTGGGCATCCTTCTGGCATGCCACCATCATGCCCTCCAGCCGGGCCTTCTCCTCATCCTTGGATTTCACCAGCCGGGTGAACCATTCCTGGCCGATCCGGCCGACCTGCTTCAAAGAGATGAAAATATTTCAGAAAAATGATCTTAGAAATACCATGGTATAGATATGAAAGAGATTGGGGAGTTACCTCTTGCAAATCAGAGCGGAAGGCTTGGAAGAGTTCCTCATCAGACGGGACCATCAGGGCGAAGGATCGGGGCTCGCCGCGTCCTTTGCCAGTGTTGGAGGACTGGGCAGGCTAGTCCATAGTCTAAGTCCTCCGCCTCTTGCTCTAGAGGGCCTCCTCGGCAGCCTCTTCTTCGCCGATGCCCCCCTCAGCTTGTTGACCGCCCTGACCGGCCTCTGATGTATGGCCGGTCCCCATCAGGAGCGTGTCAAACTCCATGGTGTCTACATTGATGTAGATCTCCCCGGAGTGAATGGGCTGGCTGTGCCCTGATGAGACCAGGCCGGATGCTCATCCAAAGTTAGCGGGGGCTGGCTGAAGGGCTGGGCGGTGGAGGGCTCCTCCACGTAAATGATTTGGGGGATGGCAAATTTGGAGTTGAATTTCACCACTGCATCCATCAAAAGGAAGACCGGTTAATAAAAGAAAGTTGGAAAGGATAACAGGCAAATTTAAAAGATGAAGTCGGATTGGACCTTTCTCCTCCTTCTTACACCGGCGCGAGGAACCGGCGACAGCAGAGATCGGGGCTTTAGACCCTTGCACGCGGCGGAGAGGAATGGCGTCTGGGATCGCCTCCTCCAAAACGATCTCTGGTACAGGGTTAGTCTCCCGACCCGGGTAGACCCCCCACTTCCCCACGTTGTAGGGACCACGGGTGGAGGTGTCCCCGATCTAGAGGGTGGCTTCCCAGGCGGCCAGGTCATCAGTCTCCCTGGGCTTGACCTGGACTTTCATTCTTTTCCCCCAGGCATTTTGGGCAAAAGGAAAAGCACCCGGGGGAAATTTAATGGAAACATATTTATCCTTCCAAGCCCTGTTCGAAGGAGGAAGACCGGAAAGGAATGCTTGGCCCTGATGAGAGGACACAATCACGAATCCAAGGGTTTCCTTGGGCCCGGGCCGGACATCGAACATATGGTCAAAGAGGCGGAGTGAAAGGGGGATGCGAAGGAAACGACAAACATTGATAATGTTAGAATAAGTGCCCTTTACTAGAGGGGAGGTGAATAGTGAGGCACGAGAATGTTTATAAATTTTTGCGGAATAGAAATCGCAGGGATAAAGTAAAGAGCAGAATAAAAAGGAGTAAAGGGAGCACACCAAGATTTATACTGGTTCACCACAACGTGTGGCTAGTCCAGTCTCCCGAGAGACTCCCTCGAGCTACACTACTTCCGTTAAGCATACAGGTGCTTAACAAACCGTTACAACCTGAGAACTCGATTCCCACAAGCCTCAATACACTTGCTCAGAGATACTGCACTCCAAGACTTCAACCTGAAGGAATATGCCCTTCCTTTGTACAACCAAGGGAACAAACCTCCATTAAAGTGTTCACAACACTTAACCACTCAAGTACAAAAACTCTCTTAAAGAGTAGAATATGAGTGAACTAATTTAGATCAAGAACACACTCAATTCCTCAAGAAATGGCTCTAAAAAGCTATGTAAAAAGTTTATGGAATGATGCAATGTAAAACTATGAAATGTGTGAGGAATGGTTGTTAAAAAGTAGACCCAAAAGACCCTTATTTATACCAAAAAATGATGTGTAACGGATGGGAGTTGATTTGGGTTTAATGGCATGATTTTTGGAAATCAGATAAAAGTGGATCTGTAGGAAAATAGCCTACCGAGCGATGTATGGAACTTCCCATTGCTGGTAAGCCATTTTTCCTTCAGTTTTAAAGACAACGGTCACATACCCATGGATGGGTAAGAACTTCCCATCGCTGGGTGGGAGGTTGACTTTGAAACAAGGAAAGAATCAGCCTTAAATGCCTTACAACGGTCATGCCTTCCCATGGATGGGTAATATCTTCCCATCGTTGGGAAGTCACTTACCCATGGATGGGTAATATCTCCCATCGCTAGGTGGCATGGTTCTGGAATCTCGAGATCACTTACCCATGGATGGGTGATATCTACCATCGCTGGGTAGATGGCTAGTCCAAAACCATGGCCTCGACCGGCGCTGAAACCCGACCGAAAAATGCAAAGTCCTCCAAAGTAAAAACTAAGTGTTTAAAACACTTATTTAATGTATTTTATGTAGAAACCAAGTATAAAAACTTAAAAACCACTTCATTAAGGTAAAAACCACGGATAGCCAAGTTTATGTCGTTTCGCATAGTTTTTGCCAAACGACCAAAAACGAGAGGTGGTTTTTGAAGTGTTTTTGTTGGAAACTATTTAAAAGTGCCCAGAAGTAAAAACCAATCATAAAAGGTTGAAAACCACTTGGTTGGTTCGGACGCCAAAAACCAACGCCGAATGCCGATAACCAACGCCAAAAAAACAAATGTTGGAACACGGGTTTATGCCTACGTCGTACTAAACTGTGTTCGTTTTTATGACAGGTTTTAATAATGCCAAACCTCCGTGACACAACAAGGCTAAAGTGAGCAAAACCAAGCCGAAGAAATATGGCATGATGACATGAGAACCAAGAACCAAGAATCAAGAACAAAGAATTAGAATTGCATTGAGTCGGTCCTAATGTGATCAAGACCGGCACAAACTTCCAAATCTTGGCTCTCTAGGCTCAATTCATCAAAACCCTTTTTGCAAATTCAAAAATGTTTTTCATAAGTTTTTAAACATGGCTAAAAACACATGGAGTTCGCCCAAACCAAAAACCAAGTCATCCGGCGTTCGTCTTCCAGAAACCGGCGTTCGGCTTTCAGTTTTCGGCATTGGTTTTTGGTATCCAAACCAACCAAGTGGTTTTCAACTTTTTATGATTGGATTTTACTTCTGGGCACATTTAAACAGTTCTCCAACAAAAACGCTTCAAAAACCACCTTCCGTTTTTGGTCGTTTAGTGAAAACCATGCGAAACGACACAAACTTGGTTAGCCGTGGTTTTCAACTAAATGACGTGGTTTTTGAGTTGTTTTACTTGACTTCTTAGCAAAATGCAATAAACAAATGTTTTCAACACTAGGTTTTTATTTTGGAGAACTTACGGTTTTGACATCGGCTAACGGCATGACTAAACCAACCATGGGTCTGGCTAAACCAGCCCAACAGCGATGTTGGTGCAACCAACAGCGCTGTCTGGCTTGAGTAGCTGAAAACCATGGTTTGGCGTTAAGTCTTCCAACAGCGATGTTGCATATTAGACATCGCTGTTGAGCCAAGGTTGGGTTTCCAGAAACTTTTGGAACAACGATGTAGCCTTCCCTACAGCGTTGTCCAACCTAAGCCAAAAATATAGTACATTGGCAGAAAGTTTTTGGACAGCGATGTTGACCCAGCAACAGCGCTGTCAGGCCAAAACTCCACCTTCAAAGTCAGACCTAAACAGCGATGTTCAAGTATTGAACATCGATGTAGGGACCTGACCGTTGGAAGGGATTTAAGGCTAAAACTTTCCTTGTTTGGAAGTCAATAGCCAAAACAGCGATGTAGGAGTATTGGACATCGCTGTTGGCATGACCGTTGCTTCCCAATTTTCAAAACGCAAGCCTAGAACAGCGATGTCCAAGCCTAGGACAGCGCTGTCTCGGTGAATTTTAGCAGATCCAAATTTAATCAAATCCCACAAATTGTGCCAATCACCCCTTAAATGTTTTGATCCGTTGGAGCCTATTTTTCCACTATAAAATGGGGTGTTTGGGTCTGTTTTATACATCACATTACTTCACAATCTCTACTCCTTCATTGCAAATCATTCATCCTTTATTCATAGCTTTTTGAGAGCCATTTTTGTAAAGCTTGTGTTGTGTTTTTGAGCGTTTTTAGTTACTCATTATTCACTCTTTTGAGAGAGCCTTGTTCTTGAGTGTTCTTAGTTTTATAGACATTAAGGGAAGTTTGTTTCCCTTGGTTGTGCGAAGGAAAGGTACTTTCCTTCGGGTTAAAGTCTTGGAGTGCGGTATCTCCGAGCAAGTGTTGTTGAGGCTCATGGGACTCGAGTTCTCAGGTTGTAACAGTTTGTTAAGCACCCGTAAGCTTAACGGAAGTAGTGTAGCTCGAGAGAGTCTCTCGGGAGGTTGGATTAGCCACAAGTTGTGGTGAACCAGGGTAAATTTGGTGTGTTCTTCCCTTACGCTTTTTTATTCTGCTCTTTACTTTATCCCTGCGATTTTTATTCCGCAAAAATTTATAAACATTCTCGTGCCTCATTATTCACCCCCCCCCCTCTAGTGAAGGGCACTTATTCTAACAATTGGTATCGGAGCCTAACTCGCGTCCAAACTTAACCGTTTGAGAGTAAAAGCGATCATGGGTTCTTCTTCTAGAAATTTGTATGTAGGAATAGGTGAAGGGCAATAAACCACACGGCCACCTATTTTTGATGGAACCAATTATACATATTGGAAAGAACGAATGAGAATCTATATTCGTTCCACGAACTTCCAATTATGGTTGGTTATCAAAAACGGGGAAGAGGTGCCGATGAAGAAAGTCGAGGACAAATTGATCCCCAAGACCGAAGATGAATTTGATGCGGAGGACATCAAAAAGGTCGAGAATTATGCAAAGGCAATAAACATGCTTTATTGTGCCGTAAATCCTGATGACTACCGCAAAATCTCTTGCTGCTCAACCGCCAAGGAGATGTGGGATAAACTTGAGGTGACGTACGAAGGAACGGACCAAGTACGTGAAGCCAAGATCGACTTCCTCACCCAAGAGTATGANCGATGAAGAAAGTCGAGGACAAATTGATCCCCAAGACCGAAGATGAATTTGATGCGGAGGACATCAAAAAGGTCGAGAATTATGCAAAGGCAATAAACATGCTTTATTGTGCCGTAAATCCTGATGACTACCGCAAAATCTCTTGCTGCTCAACCGCCAAGGAGATGTGGGATAAACTTGAGGTGACGTACGAAGGAACGAACCAAGTACGTGAAGCCAAGATCGACTTCCTCACCCAAGAGTATGAGATGTTTAGAATGAAGGAGGACGAAAATATCGACGACATGTTCGACCGATTCTCCAAGATAGTCAACGATCTTCATGCATTGAAGAAGACTTACACCGACACGGATCTTGTGCGAAAGGTCCTACGGAGCTTGACATCTGAATGGCGATCCAAGGCTGATGTCATCTATGAGTTAATCGGCACATCAAATGTCACCATCGACGGTCTAAGAGGTAATCTAAAAACTTATGAATCTACTATTCTTAACCCGTCTTTGAATTACCAAAAGATAGGAATAGCATTAAAAGCCGTCAAAGAATCAACGATGAATGATTCAAGCGACGATGATGAAGTCAAGCTTGTCATGAAGAAGTTTTGCAAACTTCTAAGGAAGAAAGAAAGGGTTGAGGATGGCCCTGTGTGCTATGGATGTGGTGAAGCCGGGCACATCAAGAACAACTGCCCGAGAAGCGGAAGGAATGCTCGTCAATTGAAAAGGCAAAGGGCATATATCTCTTGGGGTGGCAACTCCGGCGATGAAGACGGGGATGAAACTGCCAACCTCTGTCTCATGGCGCACGGAGACCAAACCGACAATGTACAAGAGGTATGTACCATTTCTTCCGACTCTTACACCTTTGAAGAAATGCAAGAAGCACTTCATGAACTTTATGATGAATTTGTTAGCGCTTCTAAAATCAACAAATTGTTAAAGAAACGCCTCTCCACTCTTGAAAATGATTTTGAAAATCTGGAAAAAGATAATGAAAAGTTAAAACAAGAAAATAAATTTTATGGCAAAAGAAGCGCCGACAAACCAGAAAGTTCCTCAAACGAATGTGAATCTTGTAAAGCTTTAAGGGAACAAGTCACAAAACTTGAGAGTACGGTCAAGAAATTTAATACTCCACACAAAGATTTAAATTTGCTCCTTGACACTATGCATTTTTCTAAGGAAGGAATAGGTTTCAATAAAAATGAAGTTAAGGTTAAAGAACACGTTGAGCCACCATCTAGACAACCATCTAAGGCTCAACGTAAGAAACCTAAAAATCAGGATAATAGAAAACCTAGTCAACCTAAGGACACTAGACAACCTAGACTAAAACCTAGGAATGAAAATGTTCATGGTAGACAACCTAAGAAAAATTATTTTGTGCATAATAATAATTTTTCTCAAAATAGGAGAAATAACATAAGGACACCTAGAAATGATTCTTTTGAAAACATGTATAAAACATCTTTTTCTCAAAATAGGATGAATATGGTTAGACCCCCTAGCTATTATCAACCTAGGCATATGTTCAACCCAAACGTAGTATGCCATTATTGCAATAGGGTAGGACATATGTTGGGAAACGAGGCTTGGATAACGCAGCGGAAAACAAAAATTTATAGTCCAAAACTCGATTCCACCCAAGAACAACTTACGTAAATTACTAGCCATAGTAAGAAATTTACCTTAACGGTGAAAACGGAGAACGGAAGAACGGTCGGGGATGGTTTTGAGGAGATGAACGTAGCGCCAAACGTATGAAGCCTCCAATGTATCCACACAAACTTGCTCCATGTCCTAGATTAAACTTGTGCTAGCAAGTTTAATTTAGGATAGTAAAAACTATAATAATACTACTTTGGGAGTAATAAATATATAGTAAAAATATTTATCTTATAAATATTTCTTTATAATATTTTGTGTATATTTCTAACACTTTAGAAAAATAACTTGGAACACAAAATAATAATTTTCTCCTCTCTCTCTCTATGGCCGAAAATCACACACCAAAAATGGGGAGGGATACTCACACTTTATAATACAATGTATTAAGGAAATGCTAGGAAATTGCTTAGGGACAAAAACAAATTAGGCTTAATTCATTGTTCCCAACCTACACAACAAGACAAGTATACTTTTGTTAATCAAATATTTGATTATAAAATCAAATATATCATTAGGTGGAATATCAAAATATGTTTTGTATTTTCCCCCTTAGAATTTCGGCCATAGCATATTAAAATACATTACATTTTATTTTTACATCAATAATTATCATATAATTAAAATGATGAAAATAAAAGTAATATATATATATATATATATATATATATATATTTATATATATATATATATATAT